TAAATGAATCTGATTGGGTTTTAGCTTTGAAAGTTAAACGATTTTTGACATCTTTTTATGAGACCATAAAGATTTTATCCGGCGTTTATAATTTCACAAGTTGTATGTTGTTTGAACGCCTTTATATAATTGTAAGAACATTTCATAAATATAAAAATGATCCCGCTTTTAGTGAAATTATAATTGCTATGAAATTAAAGTTTAGAAAATATTAGAAATAACTACCTATGCTATTTTCTTTAGCATACGTAGTGGACTCTCGATGTAATATTTCGGGAACTAAATATATAATTGATCAAATCAATAAAGTACTAATACTTGATACACCTATCACCTATAAGAATTTAGAGAAAACATTATGTGGAACGTATGATTTATATGCGGAAATAATGGGTGCGAATGTTAGTCGGTTACCCTCTACATCTACTCTTTTGACTGAAATTGAAGAGGATGATGCCAAAATAATGAATTTATTTCAAGGCATTAATACATTTAGATATGATGCAACTGGAATGTGTTCATCTAGTGTCATGTCGTCTACATTTGCATCTCATCAAACATCGGCTGCAACTCAAAATGCGATGCTTGCTGAACTAATTGATTACTTCAATCATAATATGCCAACAGACAGAACAATTAAAAAAAGTTCAGAAAAAGTAATTGAATTCTGGCGAAAGTATGAAAGACGTTGGCCAATTGTTTCTGCAATTGCGAAAGATCTGCTGACATCTCCGGTTAGCACTGTTGCTTTGGAGTCTGCTTCTAGTGCAGGTAAAAGGGTTTTGACCGATTTCAAGAACCGATTGAAGGAAGATGTTTTGGAAGCGTTAATGTGCATGAAGGATTGACATGACGCTCATTTTCGACTACAAGATAAATACGTTGAAATTGTATGTCGTCAGGTAAGTGATATTTGATTTAATTATATTAATCAAAATTTCCTTATTTTTTAATCATTAAATTTAATTTTCTTTAAAAAATTATACACGTTAAAACAAGTTATTCGTGTATAACTTTTAACTCCGCCTACTTAAAATTGATGTAGGCGGTCTCAAGCTCGGATAAAAGAGGAGAGTTTACATTTTATCTATTTTAAAAAGAAATCAAAAAATATATATTTTTTGTAAATGTATTTCAAAAAATAATTCGTCTTCATTGTATAAATATTTTATACGTTATAAAAAATATTACAATATGATATAAATAAAAAAATAAAATAGTGTCTTCATTAAATTATTTGTATTTTTTTTAACACTTTTTATTTTTTTTAAATGTGTTTTGATTACATTATTCATTTATTTGTGTTTTTCTCTATTTAAAAAAAAAAAAAGACAAGCCCATGAGCCAAAGTTCGGCTCGTTGAAAACGAGCCATAGCTGAGCTCGTGAGGTTAAGGGCCGGCTCGGCCCATTGCCACTACTACGTGTCCATATTTTCTTCAAAAATAATGAAAATATTTTCTTTATAGGGGTAATTTTTATTTTCCAGGTAATTCACCCTAATTTTCTTTTTTCTCATCCGTCTCATCTCTCTCATCTATCAACAAATAAGAAATAAGCAAGAATAATATTTTTTTAAATGAAAATTAAATCAATCAAATACATTTAATTAATAATTTTCATACAAATAAGTTCAAATCAATTGAATTACCTAGAATTTATTTTATTTTTATAAAATTTTCACACTCTCAATCAAACGCATCCAACTATTATAAAAATAGACTAAAAATCTTATTTTTACCTACATCAAACGTGGGCCACAAGTATGCATGTTCTAAGTTAAAGAAACAACACAATACATCCGTACACCTTTTTAATTTTTTCAATAATTATACAATGATATACTTATAATATAGATATTTTTATTATTCAAACCCTTTCCTTATTTGCATATGGTAGTGCCACATTGTTTTACTCTTTTCATTACATTGTTTTATTAGTCAAAGAAGTAATTTATTTTTTTTCGATATTTAAAAGTAGGAAAATTTTTAACACAGTGGTTTTTTCGGTGTGGATTTCAAAGTAGGAAAAATTTTAAGGTTAAGTGAAAAATTATTTTAAAAGGAAAACGTGTAGTTTAAAATGAGTTTAAGAAAAATGAATTTAACAAAATGAGGTCAAATAAGCCCTGTTGATAACCAAAAATCTTTTTTGAAAAAGAGAAATTTTTTATCTAAAAGTAAGAAGAAATATAAATTATTTAAAGAATTTTCACATTTACAATAAAAAGGGGTAATTGGTTCAAAATTCCACTAACATTTGCCTCTATTGTGGAATACATTTTCCTCTTTCATATTGATGAATTACCCTCCTAGATGACCTTTTCTGCACAGAATACCGTTCAATTTCGTTAGTTTAGGCATTAAAAACAATAAAGATGGCCAGTAATATAAGGATAATTTGAGCAATACACCCCCACTGTAAAATTTTCAATTTTACACAATACTTCCTAATCTTTCATTTTGGCGTATTACCTCCTAACCTTTCATTTCGGTTCAAATTATCCTACATAATAGAAAATTTGTAAAATAAGCCTGCTAAAACGAATATATATATATATATATTAAAAAATAAATGCAGTCAAAGTCCCAAATCTTTTCAAAATATGCAAATGTGTCTTGCTAATTTTATTTATTTAAAAAAAAAAACATTTTTTGAAAAAGGAAAAAAAATCATCTTTCCCAACTACGTGGCCTCTACCTCATCCCCACGCCAAATTGCTTTGCTTTTTTAAATATTGCCACACTTGCATGGCGGTGCTATCACATCTATAATGGTTGTAGACAAGTCAACAATGGCAAAACCACTGTAGGCATGGTGGCGTCGTCGTGCAGAGGTGACAATATTCAGAAATTAACCAATTTGGGGAGGGGATGGTGTAGTGTTAGGAAAGATGAATTTTTTCCTTTTTTTTTAAATATATTTTTATTTTTTAGTTAGACTCATTTGTATATATTGAGAAGATTTTAGACTCTAGCTGCAATTGTTTCTTAATTTTTCTCTCTTTTTATTTATTTAAAGGGTCTTCACAGTTTTTAACGTAAAAACTAACAGAATTGGATGGCTTGGGGTCTTTTGCACAGAAAACTCATCTGGAGGGTAATTTTGTCAAAATGAAAAGATAAGGGGTATTTCGAAATGGAGGCGAAGTTAAGAGAGGTTTAGCGCCAATTTATTTGAGTATATTTATTATTCTTTTTGTTTACAAGTGAAGTCGCGTTGAATTCAGCTGTAGATCATTTCATCGACAAATGGATACTGAAAGTCTCCAACTTCCGATCATCGACCTCGGTTCCTCCGATCGAATCTCCACCGCTCACTCTATTCGTCAGGTCTCTTCTTTTGACGCCGTAAATTCATTGCGGATAATTTTAATTTATGAATTTCCACGCTTTTCCACTTCTTTCGAGTGATAGTAAATACTTGCATGGGCTTTTTTGATACAGATAATACTACTATGGGGCTCTTTATTAGCTCGAAATATATGCACTTGATGTCTTCTTTTAGTTTTGTTTTGCTATTTGGAGCCTGGACAATAATTTCTGTGTAATGAACAAAAAATGAGCTTTTTATGGTTAATAATGTACATTGAATTCGGAGATCTGTTTTGTTTTATCCTTTCTGCTATTTGAAATCCAGATGCTGATGCGGTGTATTGAGATCCCACGTAAGAGCGTGTCGAGTTGGGGTGTGTTTGTGGGTAGCATGCAGTTGCTTAAGTTTCAGCACAAATGCTATTCCTTTTAGAATGCCCAAGCTGTATAACTGTTGCTTGTCATAAGTTTATACGAAGTAAATTTTATATTCTTCGGGCTTGGTGGCATGGCTAAGAATATATGTTGGTGGGATAATTTATCCTCGCGAGAGAATTTAGTAATAAAAATTCTGAGTTTATATTTTCGCATAATAATTGGATTCATTTCGTTTCACAATTGTTTAAATCAATAATTGTAGAAGAATTATATAATATTTGTAGAACGTTATTTTAGGTACAAAATTATTCAAATCATATATAACAGCATCTAGTATACTATTTTCTATTGTACATATCTTCATGGGTATGCACTGACGAAACTATCTCCTTCGAATAAAATTTTAAAATTTCAAAATTTCCATGAAAAATCTGAAGAAGCGAGAGCTGTAATTTTTCATACTCTAAAGAATTGTATCCATTTGTTTATCCATATGTATACAAGTTGAAGTAATCTTCTTAAACAATTATCTTCTCAATCATATGGCTCATATTTCATCACATTACGGATTATGTTTTCTTGAAAATATGCTCACAGCATGAATGGTGTTGTAGGCATGCATGGAATATGGTTTCTTCTACCTTATAAATCATGGGGTGGAGGAAGACTTGTTACATGAAGTGCTTGAAGGGAACAGAAAATTTTTCACACTCCCCCTTGAAGAGAAGATGAAACTTGCTCTCAAGAAAAACAGAGGTTACTCACCAGTATATGCTGAAAACCTTGATCCATCTTCGACTTTCAAAGGTTTCTCTACCACTGAGAGTTCTGATATGATTTTACCAGCATTTTAATAATCTTTTAGTGGATAGTTATGAGATGGTTACAAGCAAAGGCTGCTGTGCACCTAGCAGTAGATTATTGCAAAAGACAAGTACATTTTTATGGCAGGTTACCTAGATGCGCAGGTTTTGTCAAGCAATTCAATCATTTTTGTGTTTGGGATTTCTGATCCATGCAAAACCTATTTAAAAACCCTGTTGTTTAGCTGCAAGAATATATTTCTCATTGAGATGACATTCAAGATGTGAAACTCTGATGTAAGCTTTCTCTGTCGTCTTAGACTTACAATTGGCATTTATGTCCAAAATAATTGGAGGTACACAAACAAGAGATTTACTTGTTACTAATCTAGTCTACCCTATGTGAATGCAAGGTTTGAATAAAGTATATGTTCAGTTGTAATCAAAGACATTGTTTAGGGCTGGCTGGATATCAGGATTGTAAAGTGATAATACCAAAGAAGAGTTTTTTTTTTTTTTGTGTTTCCTAACTTTGATTGTAGGGAGAGAACCAGGGAGACGACTTATTTGTGTACTGATTGTGACTGAGCCAATTTGTAATAAATTTCAGGTGACTCGAAAGAATTCTTATACATTGGGCCTCTCGAAGACGTGACGCCACATGGAGACCTGAATCAATGGCCACCGGAAGGTAGTTTGCAACTTTCATATGCTTTACTCGCTATTGAGATTTTGTTTATTTATTAATGTCATATTAAACCCATAAATTTCTCTTGTTCAGTTTCCCATATGTCCTTTTAACTCTTTATCCATCCTTTGCCATGCTTGATGTATCTAATTCTATCATCGTTGTTTGGGGCGGGGGGGACTGTGTCCTTATGCAAATAGCAGATCAATGCATCTTAAATTCTCAATGGCAAGTTATATTTGAACTTTTTACTGCTATTCATTTGGAACTCTATTAGTACCTTAGCTATTATTTGTCAAAACAGCATGTTTGTAAATTGTCTTAGCTGGATCGTTTTTCAAGATCATCAGTTGTTTTTGTATTAGTAGTAGATGTCTGTTTCTATATCCTTAAGATGCATGCAAATTACTACCAATGCATATGGAAAGCTATTTTGGTGGATTACTAACCTATTGCAATCTTGCCTTTAGAACTTTTGCCTTCTTGTCATTTATTATTTGAAAATTAGTCTTTGTGAAACTAGATAGTTTATTATGTTGTTTGTTCTGGCTTTACTACCTTAGGAGTGCTGGAAAAAGACTCATCCCATTAGTTGCTCTGGCACTGAACTTAGATGAGAATTTCTTCTATGACATTGGGGCATTAAATCAACCAAATGGCTTTCTCCGCTTGCTACACTATCCAGGTTTAATATCAGAATTTTACTTCATTTATTAGCTCCTTTTTTTGCTCTCGGTAACTTGAGAAATGGTGCCTCCTTTATTTTCTTCCTCGTGGAGAAGAATGGAATAGTATATGTATATCTTGTTCTCAGTGTGCAAAAATATTATATGTTTCAGTAACCTGATGAGAAGTGCTTAAGTTTTGGCTATGACTAAGTGTGTTATTCTCCTTTTCTCTTTAGATATTTTATTTTGTTGACTATATTGAGCCAATAGCCATGTTTATCCAATGTCATCCTAACCATATTGAATAGTCTAATGATTTATATTGGAATTCAAATAGGACAATTTTCTTAAGATGGGTTTAGGCTTTTTCAAAGCGGATAATACGTATGATATAACGATATAAATACAAAGTCCAAGTGGATACCAAAAATGCACGTTTTTGGTAACGACCCGAGCATCTATACCCAAACTGTTATATCGTATGTACTGTTTGCTTTAGATGAGTATGAACCCATCTTACCCTTCACAGATTTTAATCACATCTCTCAGGATTCGAGTCCAAGACATCTGTCTTATGAGAGATTTAAATTGAATTCTGGTATCAATTGGATTTGTAATGATCCAAACTTGTGTGTTCAAGCCATTATATCATACTTACTATTTGTTTTAGGAGAGCCAAAACCCATCTTACTCCTCACAACTTTCTGTCAAGTCCCTTAGAATTCAAACCCAATACCTTTTCCTTATGAGAGATTTGAGTTAAATTGTAACGACCTAGACCTTTGTACCAAAGCCACTAATTCTACGTATTGTCTACTTTGAGAGAGCCTAAATTCATCTTACTCCTCATGACTTTCTTCACATCCCTTAAGATTCGAATCTAAGACATCTACTTTATGAGAGACTTAAGTTGAATTCTAGTATCAATTGGGTAACTACATATTTGTAAGAGTCTGCAATAAATCTCTTGGTTGCAGATTCAGTTTGTAGATGGATTAGATCGCTGTATTTATAGTATTTGGGTTCAGCTCAAGATTTCCCATTTCTGATCCAATTACATCCATTTACAGGCTTAAGATTCTTGTTGTTCGGACTAAAAAACTTTTGGTGGGTACAAATTTTGTCAAATCTAAACATACAATAAAAGTATACACACGTCAACAATCCCACTATCGACATCGAAAGACGTGCATGTCATCAGTTCTCTTCTACCACGACTCATTAAGAGATGGGGATATTACATAAGTATTTTGAAGTTTATATACATCGTTGAAGTCTCTTTTCTTGATATTGCAAGCAGGTTGGGATTACAATTCGGGGAAAGTATTGAGCATAATTGGAGTTGGGCCAAAAAGATGAATTTTCGCAATTTTTAATGTGATTCTGGGGCAAATGAATACATACAAATTCACTGATCTTGTGTCCTCTTTGTTTTACAGGTGATTTAGGACCTTCTGATGAAGAAATATACGGTGCTTCTGCTCATTCAGATTTTGGCATGATAACTCTTCTAGCAACAGATGGTGTAGGCGGACTTCAGGCATATTTGATTTATACAACTCATTCTACTTCACACCTTTGACTATCTTCAAGTAAATGTTCCACTCATCAATTATTTTTTACAATGTTGACAGGTGTGCAGGGACAAAACTGTGGAGCCACAGGTCTGGAAAGATTTGCATAGTGTCCCTGGGTTTGTTCATGACTATTATTAAGTTATTGTCATATATGGTGCTTTTAATACAAGAGGATTGAAACCAGGCTCATGCTAAATGAACTAATCGCATAAAACAAAATGATGAACTATACTTTGTATATTTGTGTGGATTACAAGAGATACAATTCATAGCAATCTAGTATTTCTCTAAGTTTTAAATATCAACTGAATAATTGATCACTTTTTTTTGTTAATGTCAGTGAAGATGTTGCCACTATGAATATCACAGAGAAATGTCTGTTAAAGCTCATAAAAAGGGATTAATGAAACTGTGGCCATCGTGCTTGAACTATCAATATATATATATATATATATATATATATATATGAGAATCTGGGAAGAGAATGAAAGTGTAACCTGGAATATGATACGTAGTCCTCAATTGATATGATCCATCTATGCTAAGTGTGAATATAAATCAGCATCTAAAGGGAAATGGGTTAAATGCATTTGCGGGTTACTGAATTTTTAGCAAACTTGCATCAGTGTCACTGAACTTTAATTTGGTGCATCATGAAACCGAACTTGTAATTTAAGTGCAAATTTAGTCACTCAGTTAGCATCTGTAAATTGATTTAGCGTTTGTTGCTGAGATGGACATTAAAATCTGATGAACGGACGTGTAACTCTAAAAGCAACAATAATGACACATCATTTTTTTTAACACAATTTTATATCAAACAAAACACGTTTTCTGGCCAAATTTTCACCGCATGAAGTTGTGCCTCTTCATGTATCAATAAAATTGTTCCCCATTGGAGTTCAAAAAGTAGTTTTTATAGAAAATTAGTAAAGAAGACATATTACATTAATCATCCACCATGTAGTGAAAGGATTAAGTTTGAGGTTATATTTCTAAATTGAGCTTCCACGTTGTGGTTCGATTTAGCTACACTAAGTTGTTTGTACATCTATGGTAAGTGTAATTTCCCAAATTGTAATGTTTCTTGTCCCAAATTATGGACTGCAGGGCTTTAATTGTTAATATTGGTGACCTGATGGAGAGGTGGACAAATTGTTTGTTTCGGTAATTTATCACTTTGACACTGGAAACATTTCTTGTATCTATCTCTTCTTGCATAATATTTTTTGATATGATGAGTTGTTCGGTTATTGTTGTTTTTAGCCTTTTTAGATAAAGCTCGAACAAATCCACTTCTTATTTTATTCATGCTTCCATTCTCTATGTAGGTCAACATTACACCGTGTAATGCCAACAGGGCAAGAACGATACTCGGTAATCAGTTATATATGCACCTGTGCCTTTGATATTACTTATTTCGTGTATTTTTTGAGGTTTGATGAATTACGCTTTAAAAATGTGGCTCAAAGTTCTAACCATTAATTTCGACCATTCTTTTAATTTGGCACTGATGGCATTATGTTGACGACTTTTGCCTGCTTGATCTCTAAATTGCAAGGTCTTTTTGGTTTACCTATCATATATACCTGATTTTCCATGAGTTGAGCTTGATTGTTTTTAAGAATTCTAGCAGTGAACTCATTTTTATGCCGAAGTTATATATCCTGCTGGGCTGTTTGTCAAGTGTTGACAAATCTTAGAACTGTCATTGTTCGTCTTTAAGACCGTTATTTGGAAAATGCCAATGCTTTGGAAGACTTTTCCAGTTAAAAATGGTAATCAAATCCACCTCGATCTTCATGATATTTGGGATCATGGCGCTGCAGAGTTTGAAACTGAATTCAAAGAATTTGATTTATTAGAAGTTTTAAACTTATTTTGTTTCAAATTATTACCTATTTTTAACGTGCATCAACACATTTTAACCAAATAATTATGCGGATCTTTTATGAATGTTGGTCACTGTAAACAAGTACTGTGACATCTTTATGGGGAATTTGGAGCAAGTATATCCTCATGACAAGTTGGTTCTTTCTCACTTTTTTCTTTCTTTTTTCTCTTTCTATACGAAGCGTACATGTAATTTAAATGGCCTTGATATTGACCACATTAGTTTCTGTATATTTTGTGCTGACAGAATATGTCGCAGTTTCTATATGAAATATAAATCTCATACATATGAACTTGTGTAGGTCTGTGGTTTAAAATAAGGTGACTGATCTCTTCTTGTGAAGAGTCTGTCCTGTACTTTGAATGTTGAAATACTTACTCGTTTTCATTTATTTTCTTATTTTAGCTTTCATTTTAACAACTCTGTAAATGCTGACAACTTTATTATGCAATTAGAAGATGGCTTTCTTTTTGGATCCAAATCCGGATTGTGTAGTGGAATGCCTAAAAACTTGGCGCAGTGAATCATCTCCTCCAAGGTATTATCTTTTGAGAATCATGAAAGGAATAGGTTATTTTGAATATTTATGAGCATGTCCCTGAAAATTTTTTGTAGTCTCGAGTCTGTTTTCTACAGGTCACCTCCAAACCAACTAAATTTTTGTTGCTGATTTTATCTAAGCGGCTAAGCCTCTGTTTGGTCCTCATTTTCTTAAACTCATTTTTTTTCTCAAACTCATTTTTAACTAGATACCACCAACTTTTATCAAATTTTTAACCACACATTTCATCAACTTTTATAAAATTTACTATACATCTGATTTTTAGGTAAATAAAACAGGGTCTACATTCGTTTCTTTCCTTATATTGGCATGTGGTTGATTGTTTATTTCTTGTTTTTTTCTAAAGAATGGCAATTAGGCTTTACGGTTATGACTGTTCGCAGATTTCCGGCAATCCGATGTGGAGACTACCTGAAAGAGCGCTTCAAACTTATTTATGGCTCATGAATTACGAATTAGAGCATGTCTGATTAAAAAGTGAGTCAAACTTAACCTTTTTATATGTGCTTTTGTCCAAAACATGTTTGTTATTACTTGCTAGTGTGAAAAAGATTATTTATTTTGATATGAAGGTAGGGTTACCTTCCAAATTAGTAACCTATTTCTAAACTTCAGCAAATACTTGTATCAAAATTTATAATCTTATACAAACACGCACTTCTTTGTTTGAACTTAAACCAACTCTGAAGATGATTGTAGTTGTGTAGTTAAATTGTTAATTCAAAGTTCTGTTCATTACTTTATTTGATTTTCCACATTTTTGATGTTATATTTTCATTCCTGTTATGTTTCCGCTGCTGACCTAAAGAAGCTCCCTTTCTTAAGAGTGCTCGATTTCAGTAGATTGAGGCATGGTTTGTTGTAGTTGTTAAAGATTTAGTTGTGTTAGAATCCCAGTAAATCTAGAGATGAAGGGAGGGAAGCGTTGAAGAATGATTCATATAGACGACCTCAAATTTATTGAGAATAAAGTTTGGTTGTCTTTAAATCAGATGCAAGGTTAGATTAAATGCTTCTTCAACATATCTTCTGAAGGCTTATAAAACCCGCTGGTTCCCTCTGGAAAATATCAACATGAAATTCCAAGTTATTGATCGTTTCCACTGAGCTGCCTTCATTGTTTGGTACAATACTTCTCAAAAATAGTAGTAAGGTTTGTAGTTACACTTTTTCTGAAAGATTTTAAATATTTGCCTTTGAAAAAAATTTAATTCAAATAATAACGTTATTCAAATGTTTCAAATTTCTATGTACACAATTAGATTGAATAAAAGAGCTAATTATATATATTCATTGACTAGAATTATGATATGATATAAATGTTTATAAAATTATTTTGTCTTTTTATATTTTTTATTAAAAAAAAATTCTTTTTTTACTTTCGATCAAACAATGATCCACTGGTTGAAACAGTGATCCATTAACTCGGAGCTTTGTCGATAACTATGGCTAGAGGACAACCATGTGGGATGGGGTGGGGCGTTTAGAGTAGACAAAGATTTCATTTCTTTCTTTCTATTTCATCTTTTATCTATTTTTTATATAATTATTTGTGTTTTATCCATTCTACTCTCGCGACAATGCTCCACACACCACGTACATGTCATTTTCAAGATCAATTGAATGGTTTTCAATAATTTTCATCCATTTCACCATTTGGAATTACATGAGCAACAATTATGGAAGGTCAAGGACCAAATTGCTCGGTCATAAATCTTAAAGGACTGCAAAATTGCTACAGAGGTCCTAGGTTGAAGAAGTGCTACAATTTTCCCAATTTGAACTGCCATACCGTTTAGTGGGTGATGCTATATTTCCAATACGCACGCATAACTTCGAGTAATACTATTTAATATCACCGATATTTAACATTAGTTTATGTAACAGTACTAGTAATATTAAGAGTTCGCTTGATTATCAATATTTTTCATGAAAAAAAAATCATTTTTTCATTCAAAATTCTACTTTTGTGTTGTTTGATTGAATTTTTTTCATGAATTTTTTTTTTTTAATTTTTGGTCATGTGACCACATTTTCCTTGAAAATAAGGAAAATATTTTCTTTAACGTGAATAGGTTTTTATTTTTCAGGCTATTCACTCTCTTTTTCTTTTTCATCTTATTCTCTCATTCTTCCATCCATCTACCAATAAAAAATGAATAAGTATAACATTTTTTAAATTAAAAATAAAATTGATCAAACATATTTAGCTCCTATTTGTTTCCCATTTTTTCTTCATTAAAATGAAAAATATAACCATTATTCATCACATCAAGTCACCAAATTTGAATTGCTATCTCTTGTGTGGGACCTATAACGACTATATTTTTCATTCTCATTTTTACAAAAATGAGAAACAAACGCCCCCTTAATTGACAATTTTCATGCAAATAATTTTTAGGCAATTCAATTGCATATAATTTATTTTTGTCCATGTAAATTTCATGCTTTCAATCAAATACATTCTGAATTATAAGTTCAAATATGGTTTATTTAAGGGGTGTTTGTTTTCCATTTTTGTAAAAATGAAAATGAAAAATATAGTCATTATGAGCCCCACACAAAATATAGAAATTCAAATTTGGTGGTTTGATGTGATGAATAACGGTCATATTTTTTATTTTAATGGGTAAAGAATGAAAAACAAATAGGGGCTTAATAGAATTTATGATATGCTGACACATAGATTGGGGGTTCAACACTACTGATACTAAATAGCATATCACTAACTTTATTGATCTTGAACATTTTTGATAGACAAAAGATTTTGTAGGAATTTCAACCCTTTGAGTAGGGCTGATTCAAGGCAATCCGGGGATTTAGATGAAAATTTTTGATGGGGTCTTTAGGCTATCTTCAGCTTTAAACCAAAATTGACATAATTTTGCACCAAATTTTCAGCAAACGAAAATTCATCTCCAATCATTACACTAAAACTTACACCAAATGAACAATATTTTATTATTTTATTCATTCTTTCGACTTTTGACAATGTATTTATTTAAAAAAAGTATTCATTTATTTTATAGCTATATAAAATAATAAATCATAATTACGTTAAATTAACAAATATATTGAATTATTATTGATTACTAAATTATTAACGTGTTTTATATATTATGTTAAATTGATGAAAATAATTGATTATATTATTAATTTATTATAAACAATTACATTAAATTTACAAAAATAATAACTAAATTAAAAAATCCTTAATTATTATTGATTATATTATTAAAAATAATAAACTTTAATAATATAATTTATTATTATTATTATAGGATGAAAATGACACAAATACCCTTTACCATTATTTTTGAAAAAATGAAAGAGAAGGGCAAAATGGATATCGTACCATTTGGTGGAAAAAATGGTGCAATGAACAGTGTTGCACCAATTCACGTTGAATCATTTTGCATCAAAATGGTGCATCGGTTGAAGAGCCAATTTGGTGTAATTTGGTACAAAAGGGATTCCATTGGAGATTGCCTTAGGAAAAAAAATTATAACAAAATAAATAATAGTTACATCTATGAAAATAACGTCTAATTAATAAAGAGAAGCAATAAAATTTTAGGATAAACTCTTAATAACACTTGTTATGCACCTCACCAAAACACTTCGGCACGTTTCCCCGAACTCACCAAACCACTTCAGCATGCCTGTCCCACTTGCCGCGTGTCCCTACGAAGTGGTTCCGAAGTGATGTCAACTTCGGCAGGACTCCAACTCGACTCACTGCAAGGTACACACCAGAAACTAAATCTACTGAAGCACCCAAAGCACCCCCTTGTAACCGAAGCACTTAGCACTCCAAGGTGTTCCCTTAACAAATCCATCCGCCATCGATTTTAGAAGTATATCTATGTCAGCATCTTCTATGGATGTGACATCTCCATGGATCTAGTTGATGTGACATCAACTTTATGTCAACTCAACTCAGGAGAATTATTAACCCGTCCACTCTAGACGCGACTGACTGACGCCTACGAGCGGACATCTCACGCCATCAGATGCATACACATGTCCTATATCCAACGGTGCTCCTCGTCTATAAATACTCAAGGTTTGACAAGAGACAAAAGTAATGAAACTCATATTAAACTTAGCTTTCCACATTCAAGCATTATACATTCTCTTCCCCACTCTCTTGCACAATTCTGGCACCATTCCGATCATCGATCACTGACTTCACCGTTGGAGTGTATGCAGCCGCCGCCGCCCCCGTTGGTTTCGGCTGTGTGCTCCTGACCGCGTGTTGTTGTGCGCAAAGAGGAACATGTGTAGTGGCTCTTGGTTGACCACTTGGAGGTCCAATTCGTGAGGTCAACAAATTGGCGCCTTCTGTGGGAATCTTCCAACCAAAGAATTCCCCATTTACCACCGGAAAACTATCGACTTACCTTGAAATATGAACGTTCTTGAAAAAGGACCAAGTCAAGTTATAGTCTAAGATTCATAGCATCCTTGAAAAGGGAGTGGGAAAATGAGATATATCAATGAGGACGCAATCTTGAAGGGCATAGGGATGCCTCTGAAGAAGAGGTTCTCCGGACCAATGTCATGCATTGGAGATCCCATCATCGGCGTCACTCACTGACAGGATAGCGGCACTCACTGAAAGGATGGCTCAAATAACTGTAGGCATGAAAGACATTGCAGTCCAAAATTTGGCGTTGTATAAGTTCTTCATCCAAGCCTAAGGTCAGTGAGGCTTTCTAATGCCACAAGGGCTGTATCCAGCTCAAGGACAAAACCCAGCATCTCATGCCCGAGGTTATTCAAGCCACCACAAAAAACACCCTATTGAGAGGGAAGTGGGAGTGGATGTCACTTTCTATACTTGAGGTACTCACGTGACAGAACCACAGCTGGGAGAAAACTTCCCACCAGAATACGAACCTCAGAGGTCGATTAGTGTCTTTGACCGGATAGGGCGAAATCCTAGCAATAAAGTCTGCTCCATATAGAGGTCAGCTCAGCAAATGCAGGAGCAAGAAGAACAAGAGGCACGAAAGAGAAACCTAGTGGATTAGGGTAGTCAGGAAGGGGCATCTCCACCTCCCTAAAATGCGTCAGAGCGGGAAGGCTCTGAAGGGCCATGCCCCTCTTACGAAATTATGACGATGATGACAACCTCCCTTTCTTTAGAGAAATCCGAAGCTTCCCAATGCTTGCAAATTTCATGCCCCCCAAAATTCTAAAGTATGAAGGAAATGGGGACCCACAGAAACACCTCACTAAGTACATGACGCAGATGAGCCTCAGAGGAGCTTCACTGGTACTAAAATGCAGGGCCTTCCACCTAACCCTTATCGGAGCTGTCGAGGTGTCGTACAGCAGGTTATCACCTCTAAGCATCAGTAGTTGGCCAGATTTGAAGAAAGTATTTCTGAACCAATACCTCTAGCGAAGGAATTGAGAGGCCCCAGTGCAATGCCTTCGGGATATGAGGCAAGCTCCTGGTGAGACAATGAAAATCTATCTCACCAGATTTACTGATGAAATCACATAATTTGAACAAGTAATGGATAGAGAGGCCTTCTTAGCCTTGAAAGGAGGCCTTAACATGAACACATTATTGTAGAGAGACGTACGAAGCAAGAATTCAGGCACTTTGACTAACTGGTTGAGATGATGAGGGTGGAAATTGTTAATGAAAAGATGATTCACCACCGGAACTGTGCAGCTCAGGGACTTCCTCCACCTCAGAGGCAGATAGGTCAAGGACCAGCGACACACCTTGTCACCCAACAATGGACCCAGGTAAGTCACATAGTAGTCTCCACATCTAGACAGGCATTGGCTTCAACCACTTTGAATGCAATGTCGGTGCTGGTATATGAAAATGCTCCTGCCGAAGCAGGGTCATCCGGTGGAACAAACAACTTGCGCAAGAAGAAGAAGCAGACAAACAGGCCCTTGGAAGGGGCAAAGTTCTGGACATTTCACCAACTCTATAGCCATGACATTAGCGAATGCAGAGACATGCCTCGGTCCTCAAATCGAAGCAAGTCACGCTTCTTGAGGAGGGATCATTATTATGAACATTCCCGCAAGTCCACTTATCCCAACAAGGAGTCGAGGCGATAGAGGGATCAATCCCCTCGAAGGAGAGAAACAAGAGATAGATCTCGAGAAGAATCCAAGCAAAGGAATCAGGCCCCAGCCACCAAAATTGATACAATCATTGGAGGACACCACATTGGAGGCAATACCAAAAATGCACAGAGGAAATATACAAGAGAAGCGAAAGACCCACTATTGATTACGTACATTGTCGAGTCCCGAACTAACAAAATGGCTCCAATCACCTTCTCTTAAAAAGATTCGCAAGGTGTTCATCACCCCCATTACGATGCGTTAGTAGTAAGGGCCGTTGTGGCTTGGAACGGACTTAAGCGCATGTTAGTTGACAATGGAAGCTCGATGAATATACTATTCGGATCAACCTTTGACAAGATGCAAATTGATCATGGCTTGGTTCCCATGGCCAACCCATTATTTGGATTCACTAGTGATAGCATCATCCCACGAGGACGGATCACTTTGCCTGTTAAGATGGGATCAGCACCCCTAGTGGCTCATCACTTCATGGAATTTTTAGTAGTGGATCACAGGTCAGCTTACCACGGGGTACTAGGCCGACCTGCACTAAAGGACCTTTGGGCTGTGACCTCCATTCACCACTTATGTATGAAGTTCCCGACTGAGCATAGGATCGTGATGGTCCAAGTCTACCAGATGGGATCGAGATCATGTTACCTCAACTCCCTATGAAAATCTGAGCCCCACACTATGAATGTGAAAATAACCGATGCAATAAAGTCAACAGAACGTGGAGATACTTGACACCCCTGAACAAGTGCAGACCCCCGAATAGGGGAAAGATGTCAACATGATTGAGGCTATTGAAGAAAGGTAACCTCTTAATGAATTAGACCCTTGGATCATCGAGCCTAAACCGAATGCAACTCCTATGGAAGAGCTCGAAACTTTCCCTACAAACCCTCAAGACCCCACTCAGGCCTTGTGAATAGGGAAAGCTTTGCCCCTTGAGATGAAAGAAGAACTGATGGAACTTCCTGAAAAGGAATTTGGATGTCTTCGCATGGAAGCACGAAAACATGTTGGGAATAGACCCAAGGGTCAGCTACCACCACTTGAATATCAACCTCACTGCAAGTCGCATCGGCAAAAGAGGTGAGCACTTAATCCAGAAAGATATAAGGCACTGAAGGAAGAAGTCGACAAGCTAAGTCGCAACGGCTTCATCAAAGAAGCCATTTATTAGAAGTGGATATCCAACCCAATGCTTGTAAAGAAATCCAGCGGGAAGTGGAAGGTGTGCGTTGACTTCACCAACTTGAACAAAGATTTCCCAAAGGACAGATTCCCCATTCCACGGATAGACCAGCTCGTGGACTTAGTGCTGGACATGAACTCTTAAGTTTCATGGATGCTTACTCAAGGTATAACCAAATACCCATGTTCGGACCCAATGAAGAGGCCACTTCTTTAATCACAGACCGATGATTGTATTGCTACAAAGTGATGCCCTTCAGATTAAAAAATGCCGGTGCCACATACCAAAGGTTGGTCAACATGATCTTCGCCGACCTCATTGGTAAAACCATGGAAGTCTATATTGATGACATGCTGGTCAAAAGCCTCCACGCAGGGGATCACGTAAGTCACTTAGACACCACTTTTCAAATTATGAGGAAATACAAAATGAAGTTGAACCCATTGAAGTGCACATTTGGGCTAGCGTTGGGTCAATTTTTGGGATACATTGTGCATCAAAGAGGGATTGAGGCAAACCTCGAGAAGATAAAGGCCTTATTAGAGATGAAGTCATCTCAGAAGCCAAAAGAGGTGCAATGCCTTAATGGAAGGATTGCTGCACTCAGTCGCTTTATCTCCAAAGTCACCGATAAGAGTCTACCCTTCTTCAACATTCTGAAATAAGGAAAGAAGTTTCAATGGACCGAAGAATATAAGGTAGCCTTCTAAGCACTGAAGAAGCACTTAGAAAAGGTACCCCTATTGTCTAAACCTAGACCACACGAGACTCTCCTACTTTATTTGGCAGTTTCGGATGAAGCAGTCAGTGCGATGCTCGCCAGAGAAGAAGAGGCATGCCAGTTGCTAGTATACTACATCAGCAAAGCCCTGTTGCCAGCAGAGACGCGCTATCCAAACATGAAAAAGCTTGCACTTTCACTTATTACCGCATCAAGAAAGTTGAGGCCATACTTTCAGGCTCATTCAATTAAAGTACTTACAAACTTTCCACTAAAACAAGTGCTACAGAAAATAGACACTTCGGTTCGATTGCTAAAATGGGTAATTTAGCTCAATGGGTTCGACGTACTGTTTAAACCCCGAAGTTCCATCAAGGGCCAGGCCTTTGCGGATTTCGTTGCTTAGTTCGCCAAAGCCCTAGAAATGGAGGCAACAATGGATCCAGCAGAGCCCCTAACATGGAAGCTATTGTGGACGTTAGGAGAAAGCAGCTCCGGAGCTGGAGTCGTTCTGGAGAACCCAGAAGGCCATAATTTAAACTGCGCAATCAGGTTCAGCTTCAAAGCCTCGAACAATGCCACAGAGTATGAAGCCCTTTTGGCAGGCCTCAAGCTGGGCAAAGAAATGCAAGTTGAAAGATTATAAGCCAGTAGCGACTCACAACTTGTGGTGAATCAAGTTAATGGAAAATTCGTGGCCAAAGACAGCGGCATGGCCGCTTATCTGAAACTAGTTCTAAACTTAGTCCCTCACTTTGAGAGGTTTGAACTGGTCCAAGTCCCATGCTTCGAAAATACACACGCAGACGCCCTATCCAAACTTGCTAGAAGCAAGGATTCTGAGCTGCTAAGAATCGTTCCAATCGAGCGTCTGCCGAAGCCCTCCATCTCCAGAGGTGAAGAAGTAATATGGATTGAAGATATCCCACCTTGGATGCAACCCATTATAGCCTATCTCAAAGATCAATCACTACAACCCTCAAAGAACGAAGCAAAGAAGTTGAGAAGAAGAGCTGCTCACTTCATACTTCAAGATGGTGTGTTATATAAAATAGGCTTATCATCACCCCTACTCCGGTGCTTTGGATGAGAGGAGGCCATATACATCTTGAGAGAAATTCATGAGGGAGTCTGCGGTAACCACTTCGGTGGAGCAGCCTTTGCACACAAGGTACTTCGATAAAGCTATTTCTGGCCAATCCTGAAAAGGGATTCCTGTCAATTTGTTTAAAAATGTAACAAGTGCCAGCGGTTCGCCAATGTTCAGAGACAGTTTTCTTAGAAACTCTCCGTAATCACCAGCCCATGGCCCTTTGCCAAATGGGGTATAGACTTCATTGGCCCTCTCTCAAAAGGAAGAGGAAGTGCAACATTTGCCGTTGTTGCCATTGATTACTTTACTAAGTGGGTCGAAGTTGAACCTCTAGCAAAAATCACTGAGGGGAACACCACAAAATTCGTCTAGAAGAACACCATTTGCAGGTTCGGCGTTCCCCACTCCATAGAGTCTGATAAAGAAAGGCAATTCGATAACAAAAAGATGCGAGACTTGTGTGACGAACTCAACATAAGGAAGTACTTCTCAACACCTCATCACTCCAAGCAAATGGGCAAGTGGAGGCAGTCAACAAAACGATCAAGCACACCCTAAAAAGGAAGCTTGATGCCTAGGAGCATGGGTTGATGAACTTCCCCATGTCCTTTGAGCCATACGAACAACAAGTCGAACCGCAACAGGAGAGACGCCTTTCTCCATGACTTATAGAGCCGAGGCCATGAGTCTAATCGAGATGGGAGTCCCTTCACATCGTCGTATAAACTTTAGTGAGATTAACAACAATGAAGCGAGAGTGTACGAACTCCATTTCCTGGAAGAAAGAAGAGATTCATTTATAAGTGTATTTTATATACTTATTCTGTACCTTAAATAGCGATATTTGATGGTTCTTTTGACAAATTATATTCTAAATTTTTGTCTTTTATGTTTAATAGGTGAAATTTTATGAAGGAAAAGGGAATTGAAGGAATGAAGCAATAAAAGGCGAAATGCAAAAGTTTGGGGACCAAGTAGTAACAATTCAATAGTTGATTCGGACTATGAATCAAAGATTGAAGAATTTAGAGATCAAATTTCATATTTTGGAAAGTGAAGGATTTGAATTGAATCAAAGTAGACATGTGTTGCAAGAATAAAAGGACTCAAAGATTGAATTGCATTATATTGAAAGATTGAGGACTTGATGGGTAATATTACATTAAAGGGTTTGAACTAGAGTCAATTATGGTGGATGTAAAGGGGAATATAAATGAATTCACGCTGGGGAGTTTTTTGGAAAAAAAATTAGTCTTTTTGTTAGTCAAATTTGGTGGCTCTAGGTTTTTTATATATAATATATATATACATACCAACTAACAAGAAAGGACGAAAGAGGAGAGGAGGACTAGAATTAATTGGCGGCTGAATTATATTCTCTCTCACGCAAGTCAGCAGCTTGGGAATTGGGAGATAGATATACGCATAAAACGACATCTTTGGGAGTTCATGGGATTCAAATTGCGATTGCCATAATTTATATACATACATATATTCCACACGGAAGCTTTGGGGAGAGAGGTCGGTGGTTGGAATTAAAAAGGAGACAGAGCGGAATTAAAGAAGCTGCCGGCTGGGACTATGCAAACATAGGAGGCGCTGATTTTGGAGAGACAGAAAGGGAGAAAACACACGGAGCACGGCAAAAGACGATAGATTCAGTCTTGAAAATTGTTTACGTTCCATCAATTGACCCAGTGATGAATTTCCTAATAAACTTGTGTTTTCATTCGCTAAATTAAGATTCTAGTGCTTTTATATTTAATGTGTTGATTTTAATGTTGTTTTTAATGCATTTAATTATTTGATCACTAATTAGATGATTTGTGAACAATAATTGCGTAGAGATGTGTATTATTTGTTTAGACCACATGTTAAAATCCGGTAAATCGATATAACGTGTAGAGATACCCATATTGATTGCTACGGTCCTATAGAAATTCTTAGAATTGTTATTTCGTTTAATTAAATTTAATTTGAATAGAGATATGAAATTGAATTAATTAAATAGGTTTAACGAGAACTCGAGAGGGATAAGTTGAATACAATAAAAGAATTCGACCGAACACTACTTTAGTTTTATGAATCTCGATATTAGAAATAAAGGTGATCAATAGGTGAATTTGTTCCGCCCTAGCTAATCCCCATTTATTAATTGAATTCTCACTAATTTTCTATTTCATTCACGAAATTTCTAGTAGTTAGATTTAAAAATCACATTTAATCATCTTTTTATTTATTTATTTTCATTAAATAGAAGTTAGAAATAATAAATTGAGTACTAAAGTATAGTCCTCGTAGGAACGATAATTCGGACTCAAAAGATCCAATTTAGTACTTGTTACGATCAGTCTACTTTCGGAATAAAATCGACAACATTCATCCCAAGTCAAACTAGCTGTGTATCAAAGGAAAATGACCCGCTATTACAACTCAAGGGTCAGAAGCTGAATCTATGCTTAGACAACCTGGTACTCAGAAGGGTGTTTCCATCATCAAAATTAACAGGCTACAGAGTGTTTGGATCGAACTGGGAAGGCCCATACCGTATCATCAAAAAGTCCCGACCCGAGAATTATGAAATTGAAGATATGGCAGGGAAAGTGATGTCTCATCAGTGGAACATTGAGCACTTAAGAAAGTACTACCAATAAATGTATGTTCTGATCCGACTTGCCTATGACCCACAAACTATTGTAACTTATTCCTATCTGACTAAGCGTTTGAATTGCCTTAGTGTATGATTGTTGAATTCAAGTTATTTGAATCTTCGGTTCGTCAATATATTCTATGAATTATCATTTTCGCCTCAATCGCTTATTGATGGTTAGTAATAGACTTAAGCATTAATCAAATTATAATAGTACAAACGGAAGAAGTCTTGATAAGAGTGTAAAATACCATATTTTCCCCTCTTAACTATTGCATTCATGTGATTATATTATGTCAAAATGCACTCATTACTCTTATATTTTGGTTTATGTTGCATTTTGGTGAAAAAGATGAAATTCGAAAGAAACAAGTGAAAAATGACCAAAGTAGAAGAGAACGAAAGTTCGAGGACTAAAGTGCAAATGATCCAAACTTGTGTCCAAGATTATGATGAAGATTCGAAAGTGTTAGAGGTCAAGTGGATGAGGAACGAAGTCAAAGGGATGAAATAACATCAAAGTTTGATCAATACATCAATTTCCAATTGAAAACCAACACACCAGTTTTTAGTCTCATTTTGGGACCCATTTTTGACATGGAAGATGATCGAATTGGGAGATGACTTCTGAATAAAAATTGTGGCCCTTTGAGTTAGCTATCCAATGCAACTTGAATCACCTCAATTGGACATCGGGAAAGAAAGTTATAATTAAAACACTGAAAGCTGTCTGGCGAAACCATGCGGCCACATGACTTTCTACTATGCGGTCGCACACACCTATACCGAGAATTGAAGAGGCTGAAAGTGCATAACCATGCGACCGCAATGAAAATAACCATGCGGTCGCATTGTGTTTTTTTGGCGGCCGAATCTCAGTTTCCTTATACGATTGAATCTCTTATGGTAACCTAATTTTCACGGGATATAAATGCCCAAAACCACCCAGAACGAAGGGGGACGCCCCCAGACCTATTTCTTTTATCTTGGTGCTCAAGAAACTCCATGGAAAACTAAGGAACTCGGTGGAGCAACGAAGGAACTCATTGGATTTGGAGATTTCACGTCATAATTTCATATAATTCGAACTCTCTTTACTTAATAATTTCTAGATTTGGATTTTCTCGTTATGAATTAGTATTGAAATTTGTTTAACTTTTAATAAATTTCTCATGGATTCAGTCATGCTTTTTCCATTGTTAAATTAAACCATTTGTTGAGTTTCAATTTAAATTACTTATTGTTGTGATTATTTTAACTTTTATCAAATCCTTCATAGATCTAGCCATGCTCTTTTTATCGAATGATTGAAATAATTGTTAAATTTTAATCTTAATATCACTTTATTGACGGATTGATTACTGCCTTATGCCTGACGTATATGGTCAAATTTTGATCTAGTTCCAATAAAAATGTGCGAATGTGTTATAGAAAATCTAGATTCTAGAAACATAATTGGAATAAAATTGGACTTCACTGTTAAATCTTCCAATGAGAGAGTTGGGAAGAAAACCTCTAATTGAGTAAAAATACATGAATTATTGATGTTGATTGATCCAATCCAATGGGGGAACTCCGACGCTTCACTAATTCGCATATTGATAATTAATTTTTATTTCAAGTGACAAATCATTCCCACATTTAATTACGAAAACCCTAGTTTTTTTGATCTTTTGAGAATTTTTCCATCTCCCTGTGGATACGACACCCCAAAGATGTACTACAATCACCGCGTTATTCTTTGGTCGTAATCAAATTTTGGCACCGTTGCCGGGGAGACGGTACAAGTAATCAAGGGATCGATCGAAAAAGGGTGACATCGTTCCCTTTCCTTCATTTTTATTTGATTTTATTTTTTTTTAAGTTACTTTTATTTTATTTTCACATTTTCTTTGTTTTTTTTGTGTGTGTTTGATGAGCAGGGATCGAGGCAATCAAGGGAGTTCTACTGGAGCACCTTATCCAGTGTTTGAATCTCAATATAACCCTTATTTTGCTACTGCATCAATTGCCACGAATACCTCAACACATAACACTATGTCTGATAGTGAACACGGCGATGCGCCTTATAGGACTTTGCATGATTATTTGCACCCCACACATACATCCACACCATCATGCATAATGTTTCCGCCAATATGCCACGGATGGAATTGAAACCGGGAATGATTCAACTTCTTCCCACTTTTCATGGACTTGACAGTGAAAACCCATACGTGCATATTAGGGAATTTGAGGAGGTAGTTGCAACCTTCCACAATCAACATGGTACAACGGATGCAGCCAGGTTAAAATTTTTCCCGTTTTCACTTAAAGAGAGAGCAAAAACCTAGCTATATTCGTTGAG